GTCTGTATGCAGACTGTTGGTTACTCTCCTATCAAGCAGATGCACTCCGACTTCGAAAGAAATACCCATAATTAGTCGGCTCTTACAACATGCTGGTTACAGGAGCTATGAGTCTAATACAACGCGTACGAAATAGCACACATAAGATCCTTACACTCCACCAGAACAGTTGCTGACGTAACTGGAAGAAGAGAAGACTAACAAAAAATGTGTTATTTAAAAATAAATGACACCAACATGACTTCTTCTAAATGAATATTCCCCTACCGTGTTTTCTCTGTACATCTCAATAACACTGGCTATTCGTGCACTATAATCCCAAACAACGACAATGTGCTAGATAACACTGGCTATTCGTGCAGTATACTCCCATACATCGACAATGTGCTAGATAAGCGTAGACACAACTCTCCAACACTGGAATAACAACACGCTACAGATACTTTCCTCTAAGGTAACTCAAAAGCAGTACTTGGCAACAATTTACCTAAAGTGACCCTGATCACAGCTCACCCAGTCTGTGTCTATGGTAGCTCATAGCTCACTTCCCCTTGCAGGGTCACTTTCTTTAAGAGTAACTTGAAATTAATTATGTGCGATCTTTTTTTTTTTTTTTTTCAAAGACGAATGGTGAGAACATCCTGGACAGTTGAAGAAACAAACAGTAATGATGATGTTTTGAGAGAAACCGACCCACGAAGATAACTGGTTGCCCACGTGAGACAGAAACGATCTACATTCTTTGGTCACGCCTGGAGAGAGACAACTGGAGTACATGGTGAAAGTTGGAGGGGAAAAGAGAATGAGAGAGAAGATGCTGGTCAGCTGGATATCATGGCTTGAAAGATCATCTGTGCTAGAGCACAAGACAGAAAGGCTAGGGGAGGGCTGCGTAGTTTCGAGGCATAGTGTCCACCTCCAGTGTTAGAGGTTCCGGGTTCAATCCCCGATAGGGCAGGGATTTTTTTCCCACGTGGCCCTATTCTCTTGGTAGTTAGATCGTACGCCTGTGTGCATCGTCTCGCACGCAAAAAAATCCCTTGGGAGTTGAAAATCGAAAAGGGGAACTTAGCGGCGCTGCCTGGGCAAAATTTGAAGTTAAAAATCTACCCAAAGTATTTCAGGATTCTCACCTGTGCTACACTGTGGTGAGCTTCTTCGAACTCAAACTTGAGCTTGAAGAAGAATCGAGCACTTACGGGTTACTACCCGTGTGCCATAATGTTGATCCGTTATTCAAATTTCAAACTTCAGACAGAAGGCTGTGACACAGCTACCACGGTCATACGGCACGGACTATAAGAACTAAAAAATATAGGGGCGTACACTGCGAATATACTTTCATATTATTCATTAGAAAGTGGGTACAAGTCCGTCAAATCAGCGGCACCGGAACCTGGAGGTACCCCCCCCCCCCCCCCCCCCCAACCAGGCGGCACTCGAAAGAACGTAATACTAGTTCCTGTTTAAAATCATTATTTTTTTTTTTCTGCGCTATCGTAATACCGGTGTGCCGGGTTCCATCCCAGTTGCAGGCGATTTGGCAGCACACAGCCTTGCTTTGTGTTCGATAGCGGTATCCAGAGCTGACCTTTCGGTGAGCAAACCACTCGACATAAAATTGTCAAGTGAGATCACAAAAGGTCAAATATTGTTGGGATCGGTTCTGTAACTTCCTGTAAAGGATACGCAACTAGTTTTTAATATACATGAACATCTTTGCCAGTATGTGTGAATTACATCTCCCTTATTTAACAAGGGGAGACAAATTATTACATGGGAAAATGAAGAATGCTGCAACGTTAACACCAACTTCCAAGAGCAGGACCAACGTGATGAATCATCAACATCATACAAAAGAAATCTAGTGGTTTTTGATTTACCATCTCATATGATCACAAGAATTAACACATGCCTCATCGCTAATTGCGTTTCTCCAACATTTTCAGCATATATGTTGAAAAAAAAAGGAGAAAGAATGCAGCCCTGTCTCATTCCTTTCTGCACTTCAAACCATACTGATGTTTCACCAGCTACTTTGACTGCTGCTGCTTGTTCATGGTAAAGAGATTCAATCAGATATTCTGGAAATCCTATGCCTCTTAGTATATGCCACAGTTTATAGTGTTGCACAGTCAATGCCTTGCTGTAGTCTATGAAACAAGTATGAAGGTCTATCTAGCATTGTCTACGATGATTCTCATACTGAAAATGAAAAATGGTCTCGTTCTCGTTCTAAACCCGCTTGTGCTTCATATTTAAATTTATTCTCGATTCTCCCTCAAGATGATCTGCAGAAGGATTTTGATGGCATAACTAGAGCTATAGTAAAATAATTGTCACATAATTTGAGTTTTCTTTTATTAAAAGAGGAATATAAGGTGATCTTTTCTACGCTTTGGGCCAGTCAGCATGGTACAGAATAGCGCTGGCTTCTCCGCCAGCCTGAATTAACTCTGCTGGTATGTCGTCACATCCAGGAGATTTAACCTTTTGGGTTCTTTATTGTTATGTTTACTTCCTCTAGTAGCGGACATACCAAGACTAAAGAAGAGGTGGAGGAAGAATTCATCTGTTTCTTGGGCGGCTGTCTGATTTGTTTCCCCACAGATTTATCTGCTTTTGCCCAGACACTAAATGTATCCTCTCCCGAGGATTTTCTCAGTGTTTTCTGCCTCTTGTTCACACGTCACATATATACAACAGTACAGATTCTATACAGCACTTTAACTCTTCTCCTCACTAACATCACAAAGAACCAAAATATTTTGTTCCTTTTTTAACTTCTTGAAAAGCTGTAAAACTGGCATTTCATAATTTTGAAATTCTTCATGTGCCTGTGTATAACAGAGCAGTTGTAACATTGCATTGTGTTTTAGATCTAGAGCCTAACACATCTAATTGTAGCAACTCTAGAATGAGTCACCTTTTATACTTGTTAAAGCGTCAGTGGATCCACCCCCCCCCCCCCCAACAAAGGGGCTACAGAACCCTCACAACAATAATTTTCAAACCATCATGTAATGAAAAATGCACATTATAGTTTTCTTCCTTTTCTATCGTTCGCTTGAAATAGATTATCTGTATCTTATGTTGTCTCTAGTATGAACTTCAGTGAATTACAAAAGATAGTGAAGTTCATACTAGAGATAACATTGCAGATGTAGATAATCTATTTCAAGCAAATGAGAAAAGAGAAAAACCATAATGTGCATAGGCAGTCATGTTTCTCTAAAAATTTCAAGAATCCCAGATCACGTCAGTGTTCTTGTCACTCACTTCATCCACATCACTAAGCCATCCAAGTATGTATCTCTTTGGCCTCCCCTTCCTCTTTCCTCTTAGCCGAGTTCTTCCTATCTGACAACATATCTGTAAAACACTGTTTGATATAAAACACCAGAAATCACCACAAGTTCAACAAATCTTTATTCAGTTTCACTTCACTCAAAAAATGCAGAGAAAGACCACAAAACAAAACGATTGCCCACACACAATCATTCAGAGCTAACAAAGTTGTGGAAGCCATGATAGACACTTGGCTGCCAGCCTTACGGTCTTGGGTTCAATCCCTATAAGAACACATTTATTTTTCTAACAGATGACCTTGGCTGCCAGGGGAAGCTGGCTTAAGAATGAGTCAGAGTAAAGTCTTGTAAAGGAGCCTGGTGTGACAAACATCACCCCCACAGAGTGCTGCTGACTGTTTTATAAAACAAATCTTTCATCATATGCGCCATGAGCCACTGCCATGTATGCGAACCTTTACAATTTTTTTCAAAAACTAGCAACAAGCCAGTAATGTCAGCTACATGACAGCAGGCCCTCAAATGTTATCATCAAAGATCTTCCTAAGAATTATATTTGATTCTGAGTTTACTGATACCCAGCACTAGTGTCACCTCTACCTACCGTGTTTCCCCAAAAATAGGACTACGTATTATATTAATTTTGTTTTTAAAAAAATGCACTAATGCAAATTTTTTTTCCAGATACAAACATCTACATTTGTTCATGTACCTCATTCTACACTCATTCAAATACAGTTATGTCTTCTTCTGGATCAGGTTTGAACGACAGAATCAACATCATGGCACACGGATGTAACCCATAAGTGCTCCGTTCTTCTTCTAACTCAAGTCTGAGTACGAACAAGCTCAGCACAGTGCAAGGCTCTGCAGCACCGGCAAGGATCCTGAAATACTTTAGAAAGATTTTTAACTCCAAATTTTTGCCTGTGCAGCTTTGTTAGTCTACTCTTTTAATTTCCAACTGCCACGGTATTTTTTTACGTGCGCAACAATGCACACGGGCGTCTGATCTCACTATCCAGTAACCAGGGAAAGTTACTAGAAGTCCAGGTGAAAAAATCCCAGCACTCACCAGGAATTGAACCCAGAACCTCTAGTTCTTGAGGCGGTCACCATGCCTCGAGACCCTTCTTCTAGATCATCATTGTCATAACTCTCTAAATTCTGAATTCAGCCTAAATTTCTCGTGACTCCATTTCATGTAGGTACCAGTCTCTCAGATCCAACAATAAAGGTGAGTCCTATTTCTTTGGGTAGGGCTTATATTAAAAGCAATCCTGAAAAATTGTGCCTAGGGCTTATTTCAGGGGCAGCAGGTCTTATTTTCAAGGAAACACAATATTTATCTATAATCCCATATCACTGCATGTTCTTTCACTGATTACTGACACTTTTATCTGGTCTTTCCATTTTTAATGATCAGATGTGTTAAATGAGATTTTCATATGTGAGGCCCATCTAGCCATCCAGATTTTATATTGGCCTGCCTCATCTCTTCTTCCCTTGTGCCAAGCCCTGCTGTGTGGTTATAGTAAATTTCACTAGATGTCCACACCACTGCATCTTTTTACTGCTGTTATAAGGGAATCATATTTTACTTGCTTACAGTAATCTATAGCTGAGCTGGATGCGGGTAAGACTGTGACTTCCTGGAAGATCCTATGTGTGCACCAAGCACAGATGTCTTCATTAATTGTCTTCTCCTGCCAGCTCTAGAACAGATGCTGAGTACGCCAGGTCCCAGTAATGCTCTACTCCATGCTTCTTGAGCTGTTCCCGGGCAAAGGATTCTGTCGGACACATCTTGAACTTGATTTCATCAAAAGAGCGTGTCTTCACCATGCCCTTAAAGAAAACAGAAATGAGGGAGACGTGATATAAACTGTGGAGCACATATTAGTTGGGTACACTGGTTATCATGTCTTTCTCTGCCTTCAGTCTCTCAACGCAGCTCAGGACCTCAGCCAACTCAAGCCAAGATGTTTGATGATGACTGGCTGGAAACTGCACAAGTATTCTGCAGAACACCCTCTACTCACCTCTTATGACAGGCACGACAGGCTACACAGACATCACAGCAGGTTACAGTGTTATTGACTTTCCTTAGCTCTCATTTTGGTCATTGTTAACACCCAGAGATTTGGGACAGGATGGGTCTGGTTATTTTCATCTCTAAAGATGTTTCTGCTGGTTATGCTCCAAGTTCCTAACAGTGGACAGAGATCACACTATAGAGAGAATAACCAGTCATCCGACCAGTACACTCACTGATAAGAATGAACCTCCTAAAATGCAGCAATACTACCTAGACTGGATTGAACAATGTAGGCAGCAAGTTAAATCCATAAAATAACATCAGCTTAGGCACTTTTCCACTGCATATCCCCACAGGTGCTCCTTCTCCTTCCTCAGTACCAGTGAAGAGTCTCATGCTAATAACAGTACCAGCGAAGAGTCTCATGCTAATAATAGTACCAGTTGCGAGCTGATTACAAGTCCACTTTTTGTCCAGAACCTCTACTCACCCCCCCCCCCCCCCCCCCCCCCCCCCCCAATTCAGTCCTTCCAGGTATAGATACTCTGTCCAAGCTATTACATTGTCCACTTGATCCCAAACAGCCTTCACCGCATCTGCTTTATCATAAAGTAGCTCAATGCCTAGCAGAGTGGCAGCAGCCAATCTATAAGACTGCTCAATAACCCAGTGGCCAATTGAAGAAAAAATATGCTGAATCTAAAACAAGCACTCAGTGCAGTAAGACTATGATCCTGTCATAAACAATTCACATGGTGTCACATTCACAAAATAAACCGAGAGAGGATAAAATGAGATTACCTCCCAGACAAGAGAGCATCTGTTGGTTTTGTCCACCGATCCATCATCATCTTTTTCCTCTGAAAATGAACAGAAAAAAATCAAACTTATCAGTAATACATCAAGAAAAACGTCAAATGTCCATCCACATATCTGAGTCAGTAGAGGTCCCATTTTTCAAGTCTCAAGGCTTATTAAGAGCTAAGCACGTAACTCTGTCACGCCCAACAAAAAATAAATCTGACCAATTAAACCAGCAGCAAACAAACACAAAGACCAATTTTTTTCAGCAGGTTGAATATGGTCACATTTGTGTCCCTTCCCCCCCTCCCCCTGCACATGTCAAATTCTCCTATCATTTCCCATCCCTTCTGTCTATTATACTAAGTAAATATGTGTACATTTACCACTGTTCAAGTGAGCTTTTACCTTGGAGAACTGTGGTTATAATCTGCATGATTTAACATAATTAGTTTTGTCGATGGGGATGTGCATGTGTGTGAGTGTTGTTGCACTTGTGACCTTTAACTCATCTTGTGTGTTATCTTTACCTGGCATCTGATTTTATTTATGAGAAACAATACAAATGGCATTAGGGGCCCAGATTCATCAAGCTGCTCAGTTAGATTCCATATCTAGTCATGTCTATTGTTACCATCATCATCTAGTTCCCAGCCAATCAGAATAACAAAGACAACAGAAGGCATCCCTGTTGGACTCAAATTCTTATGTCAAAAATTTGTTTATCACTTTCATGTCTGTTTTAACAGTTTCACTAAACACCTGTCTCTTCAGCCTGCTAGTATCTTTTCAGGCTCTGAAAAAAAATGTGTAGTAATCCATTTGAGCTGCTAAATTGGCTCTAAAAGTTTCCAAAGAGACACAAAGTGGTCTGGGTGTTTATGGTGTCATGTCCCAATACAGCGGTTCTCAACCTGTGGGTCATGACCCTTTTTTGTGTGTTCAATGACCCTTTCACAGGGGTCGCCAAAGACAATCAGAAAACATATATTCACTGAAGTAGCAATGAAAATAACTGTATGGCTGGGGGTCACCACAACATGAGGATCGGTATTAAAGGGTCTCTGCATTGGGAAGGTTGAAAGCCTGCCCTAATACATTTCCATTACCCATGTTGGCATCCATGTTTTCTTTTAAATAAGCTTATGTTAAACTAGAATCAAAAAGCTTAGCTAGCCTTTATTTGCTATTGAAATAATCTGTCTATGCAGCAATCATTTCAGTCATTTCCTTTAATTTTGTTTAGTTAATCATTTGAGCAGTAACTGGTATGTTTGACTGCTCTCCCATCAGAGGATCTGAACAAGATCAGTGGAAACATCAGCTGTGTCCCAGTTGACAGGTATTACAGCTAAGCATTTGTAGACCCTCACTGGCAAGTTCCACACTGGTGTCAGTGTTTATGCAAATCATTACAAATGCAATCCTGGCTACATAACAACGTAGTACATTACCAATACGTGGTGCAGGTTTCCTCGCTGTGGAAGTCAGTGATAAAGACTGTAATTCAGCTACACTGATGAGAATGTGACTGTGTGTGAGAAGCTTTAGTGGGCTGTTGAGTTGCAGTGTATGGTAGTTCACTGTCAGTTTATGAGCCACGTATGAACAGGTGTCCAGGAGTCAGGAACATTATGTTAGTGTATGAGGCAGGTATGACAGGTGTTCAGTGTCTATGAGCTAGGGACTTTATGTTAGTGTATGAGGCAGGTATGACAGGTGTTCAGTGTCCAGGAGCCAGGAACATTATGTTAGTGTATGAGGCAGGTAAAACAACTCATGTGTCAGTTAAGATATATTTCTAACAGGGTGTGTGCCCAACAGATAAGACAGGCTAATATTTCAATCAGATTTTGAGACTGGTCTGCCAGATTTAAACTAAAATGTAAGAAAAATTGTCTGCTCTGACAGATTCAGACTGTATAACGTCAGTCTGATTTTATGAGTGATCTGACAGACAGTAAAATTTTAAGATATTCAGATTTTAAGACCAGTCTGACAGATTTAGACTGTAAAATGTCCAATCTGACATATTAACATTCAGGTGTGAGACACTAAAATTCTGGTATATGTACAAGTTTGGAGAGAATTGTTAAAACTATCTTTTACATTAGACAAACTAATGATACTGGTTCTCACTGCTTTTGTTGCTGTTTTATTTGTGTTTTGTTGTTGTTTAGATATCTTCAGACTGTAGTCTAATTTGTTAAATTTTTCAGGAGTCTACCAATAAAAAGATGAAAATATAAAACACAGTTTTCTTATTACCTGTCCACTCACTGTTTTCTGATGAAAATGAAAACACTTCAAACGCGAGGACTTGTGCACTGGTCAAGCCATCCCGGTACTTACCATGTTTTATTCTTGACCTTTGCCCAGAAAGTTGATTGGGTGTCACTAAGTCAGGGCTATTCAATGGCGGCCCACGGAAGCCTAGCAAGTGGCCCACGGTTCATTGCCAGTTGTATTGTTTTCATGATTTGTCTATACTGGGACTTGGGCCTCTGGCCCGTGACGATCTCCATTTTCAAATCTATGGTCCCTGAGTAAACTTAGATTGAACATCCGGCACTAGGATATCAAGTTTATCTCTTCTCATGACATACCCAAATCACCTGACCATCTACATCTAACTTCTTCAGTCGACTGACAGTTTCTTATGCTATATAAAAGACTGCCAACATTTGCTTCCTGTGTGGGTTCTGTGGCACCACTAGGGGGTGGAAAAACACCCAAGTATGTTGTTAAATGGATCAATTAAGGATTTGCTTAAATCAGATGTGGTGTACAAAAAGTGTGGATATCTCAGCCTAGCTGTAAACCACAACACAAAGAACTTGTATGGGCAAGGACACAAGAAGAAGAAACATTTGCTTTTCTCTTATCCCATTATTTTATGGGAAACCATGTTTCAGTTACAATCAGATGTGTCTCATCTAGTCCATGCACTATTTACATATCAAATGCATACATTACTACAGAGTATGTAGCATCTTCACTGTTTTTCTAACTTTCATTATTATCTTTTACAATGCAGTTTCTCACTGAGCAAAAAATATATTCTAGCCACAGTTCCTATTCTAGACACAGTATTTCCTTTTCTAGCCACAATTTTTTTTCTCAAGTACATCAAGAAAACTGGCAATCATATCTCCAAGTCCTCTATCTCTGCTGTTTAACTAACTAAAGCATGGAATGAGCAAATCGGTCACATCCTTGGATCCTCTAACTCTGCTGTTTAACTAACTAAAGCATGGAATGAGCAAATCGGTCACATCCTTGGATCCTCTATCTCAGCTGTTTGACTAACTAAAGCATGGAATGAGCAAATCGGTCACATCCTTGGATCCTCTAACTCTGCTGTTTAACTAACTAAAGCATGGAATGAGCAAATCGGACACATTCTTGGATCCTCTAACTCTGCTGTTTAACTAACTAAAGCATGGACTGAGCAAATCGGTCACATCCTTGGATCCTCTAACTCTGCTGTTTGACTAACTAAAGCATGGACTGAGCAATTCAGTCACATCTCTGAGTCCTCTATCTCTGCTGTTTAACTAACTAGCTAACTAAAACGCCTAATTACCAGAGAAACCCCTGGATAATGCTATATGATTACCTTTATCTTTGGCTCTCTTCTGAGACTCTGCCCACTTGATTCTATTTAACATCAAACGCTGGAACTTGCGCTGCTGTTTGGGGCCTGCAAATTTGAGAGATTTCACTGTGAAAAGTCTCAGCAATCTGGCATAGTATCTAAATAAGCACACATATACATACTGAGCACTTCATTTAATATAAAGCAACAGAAAAGAAGCTATAAACCTCCTGATGTACATCAATCTACTATAGAATCCATCAACACTGTCTCCTTATTCTTTTCTTCCTCCAATTACTTCATTAAAATATTCAGGGTGGGGGAGGAGTGGAGGGGGGGGGGGAGGGAGGGGGGAGACACAGAGAGAGAAATAGAGAGAGAGAGAGAAATAGAGAGAGAGAAAGAGACAGAGAGAGAAAGAGACAGAAAGAGACAGAGGGAGAGAGAGAGACAGAGAGTTAGAGAGATAAAGAGAGAGAGAGAGAGAGAGAGAGAGAGAGAGAAAGAAACAGAGAGAGAAATATATATATATAGAGAGAGAGAGAGAGAGATAGAGAGATAAGATGCCATAGAATCCCCACCACGAGATAATCACAGTGGTCACTTTAATATACAAAGTAAGAGAGCAAACACTGCACAGCTGAGTTCATCAAATAAAACTAAATATCTACAACTGCCAGCAGCTTGGGTTAGCACGCCTGTGCATGTGCCTCAAAATGTTAAATCTGAGTGTCCTTCAAGGTAAGTGTTTCTTTTGGTTTCTTCTCTCACTGACCCAGGTTTCCAGGTTGACCTAACACCAAATAAGCACATAGAAATTACTTGGAAAATAGCGGTGACAAGTGACAACACCACCCACTGAGTGCTATGTGGTCTAAAAACATGAGGCCAGCACCATATAACGAACATGCCTATCTAGTGTAACCAAAATGTGTCATCCTGCACCAGCATCCTTTCCTCACTTTTTCAGCCACTATCTGAACATTTTTTAAATCCACTTTTGCTTCAGCTTTACATATTTCAGTGGTTACCTTTAACTTTTTAAATTTTTAAATTTCCTGACTATCTGTCAATATGATCGACAGGCGGCTTATTGTTTTAATGGTGGAATGCTTTTGCTTCTCAAAATAGTTAGCCACAGCTTTTTTTCCACACCCAGACTAAAAGGATTTAGTTCCGTCGTCAAGCTACTGAGACGAGTGCATGGCGCAACACTGTCAGCTGCATATTTCACGCGGAATGCTTTTTCACTGCTCACAACGTGGTTAGTGTTGTGAACTGCAGATTTAAAAACGAAAAAGTTGCCTGCTAGCAGAGAACTGGCTGTACCTCATGTCATTAATTGCATGCAACTACTAATCTTATAAAACGGTTGCTCCATTGACGTTGAACTTGATTTCTAATGCTGGACTATTTGTGTTGGCACTTCTATTGGCTGCCGAAATGCATTAATGTGTATGCTATAATTTTTGCTGAGACAGCAGTCTGTAAATTTCAAAAGGGACAGTTTTGGACATTCTGTTGGTTTTCTTTGGCACAGAAATGGAGTGACCATGGGGTGACCTGTTTGCTATGAAAGTTGAATTGAATATACTTGATTTTAACTCCTAATGGCCCAAACATATTCTGACATAACAAGTGCATGAGAGAGAAAGAGTAAAGATGTACATGAAAGCACTGTAATGTCCCATGAATGTGGCTGCAATAATGAGTGATCAGGTGCCAGCACTAATGTCTCCAACTCACCTCCTTCAACAATGACTACATTGCAATCTTTGTAGAGAATAGCTATCCCTGTCATGTAGAGCTGATTGGCGTTCTTCTCCACTTTAAATTTAATGGCAGGATCACTGAAATCTCGAATCCTGCAGACACAATATTATACGTTACGGCAATGGTTTGTTCAACTATGACAGACCCACAAAGCGTGCAGAGAAAGGTGTAGGCAGAAAGTATTCATGTAATGAGATGTCTCGCTAAGGGCAAGAGTAGTCAGCATGCTTTAGATCTTTTCTCCAAACAACTCTCTAGAGTCTAGGCAAATAAACAAGCAGAGCACCCTTTAGATCTTTTCACCAAAACACCTAAAACACAAGAACAATAAAGAAAAGCAAACAGATCACCAGTCTAGAACGAATGAGAAAAATGAAAGCTGGGTAGACTTTCAATGCTCAGAGGGAAGGCGTGACATATCAATCTACAACCGCCACCATTAAAACTGGAATCCACTAGTTGTTGAAGATCAGGATGGAAGGGCCACAATGTTGCGTCTTACGTGTTCACTTTTTAAGGATTCTTCCATATTTTTCTTTTTCAGTTACTCTGTACAATTACTGCAATGTAGGATAGTCAAATCTTTATACAACATATTGAAAAATACTGCACAGTGCAGAAGTGTGGTTAATAAAAACGGGATCAGAACAAGGAATTTGTCAGTCTCAGGGTCTAAGAACACCAATATAAGGAAGAACGTTTTTTCACAGAAACAAAAGCAAACAAATCTAACCCATGATTGGTTAAGAGGTATCATTCAAGCTTGTGTAGTGCTATTTTAGCACTTGTAAACTAAATAGTTTTGGTTCAGAAATTGTGAGAGACCTGAACAGTCATGAATTGAAAACATAATAATTATTGTATGTGCAGTAACAGGAATAATGAGTCCACAATGTCAGTATACATTTAAAATACAGATTTATAGATCTCTACCAGATCGCTGGACAACTATTACAAGAATTTCCTAATCTGCTGCTAAACCATTGTCCCTCAATGTCGGGAATTTGCGTACTATGAGAAAACAATGCGTCACAAAGTAAAAATAACTAGCCAATCGTAATCAGACTGCGTGGATAGTCATTCCAGATGTCTGCCCACATGTGTTTCCATTAAATTTGTGTTAATATACGTAAACAAATTCTGAAAATTCACAATAAAACAAGCGGCTGATGAACCAAGCATTTCAACAGGAAAGCTAAGTAAGTCTAGGCTTTTTTACAGTCCAACAGATGATCAATCCTTTGGTTTATTCAGACTCTTGGGAGTCATAATTTCATGAAGAATACGTTCACAGTTGAAGTGGCAGTCAGTGAGAGCTCGAATGATGGGGACAATTCTTAAAATTATAAATCTAGAAATATATCGATAGTAAGAGAAGGAGAGCATGTCCCTCAAACAGCAACATCTAGTGTTCAATTTGTGAAACAAGGCTGATCCTGCTGGGTGGATTGGCACAAAAAGGTGGAAAATTGGTGCTAGATAAAAGGTAAGCCTATTTTCTACAATGTCTCCAAGTTTCGTCTTATTCTAGCCACTTGTTTGCATGTAACTAATATTTTTGTATATCATGTTAGTTTTTTCACATTACTGCCTAGGAGCTCAGGTATAGGGGGCAGTTAGGTTCAGGGCCTCAGATCTGGTAGGGTTAAAAAGAGGAATATCAAAACTGGATAAGAAAACAATTAGAAGTATTACATAAATGGAGGTAGCAGATAACAATGAGTTCAAGGTCAGACTATTAAATTATTGTTGTCATGTAACAAAGCAACTTGTTATAGTTGTCAAACAGATAATCCCCAGTGCACACTGAACCATTCCATCCATAAGTGCCTTGGATTCTCTCCCAGTAAATCTGTCATCATGCAGCAGCTGACTACACAGGTTCTGTGTTGGTTTATTATTCACCTGTGGCTACCCATGAAGCCCACTTCTCTTACCTCAATTTTTTACTTCTGTTACTAAAGTCTAGTGAAGGCTGCAGATTAATTCATCTTTGATTCCTGTAATCATCTTACTTCTCATAAGGTGTTTAGTATATCAGCCTGGCCCATTGCTCATCCATATACACAGCAGCCAGGGCTACAAGTCAATCAGCTTGTTTGTTTCCTTTTAAATCCTCACTTCCTGGCACAAAATGAACATGATTTTGTCAGCAGTGACTGCTGCTTTGGAGTACAGCATAAACAAACTCAACAGGAAAGAACAAACAACAATTTTTAGACTTTGGACTGGACACTGTGGTCTTCGAGCACACCTGTACAGGATAGGCATAAAAGAATCTGCTGCCTGTGATTGTGGAGCAGAAAGACAGACCCCTGGGCACATACTGCAGTACTGCCCTTACCTCTCCCAGCAAAGACTGTGGATCTGGCCCAAGGGAGCCACATTGAAAGAGAAGCTATGGGGGACCGGTGGCGACCTTAAACGCACAATCCTATTTGTGACCCAGACGGGACTCAATGTTTAGCGTGAATGATGTCGAACGCAGAAGAAGAAAAGAAGCTTTGGAGTCCCCAACCTTTCTTGAGCTTTCTAACTGAAGCACAGCTTTAGTATCATAGGTTCGAGAGGCGCACCATGGAAACACAGCAGAGAGGATGTTGGAGACTCATCACAGCTGACCTTAGATACAAAGATGGCAACTCATGATAATAGTTGATGGCCTGTCTTCATCATTGTCCTGCTCAGTCTTTTTCCTCCACTCCAGTCTATCCTGTGCAATTTTCATAATATCATGAATGAAATCCAGTCCAGTGTCTTAGGCCTCTCTTAACAATGTTTGTCTGAGGGTTTCTCTTGGCGTCCTTATTTCCTCAAGCCATTTCTTACTGCTGACACTGTATTTTACAATAAAGATGACTGATGTGATGAGGACATTAGCCACCGAGCTCAAACCGGTCTATACAAATATGGGTCTAGCATATTTCCACTTGGGAGTCAGCATGGTGTAGTAGGTAGATGCTTGCCTGTGGAATGGAACGTCAGGGGTTCGGGTCCTGATAGTGCCATACTTTTTCAAAAACTGAAGTTGGCTCTCAAGTCGAACCAGTCTTGAGTGGGTACCAGGTACAGTCCTGGGAAGTAAAGGTGGCCGGCGTGATGCTGACCATATGTACCCAGCTGTAAAAAGCAAGGTCAACTGAATTAATCACTTTAACACTGACACTAGTTCCCTGTGATATCTCACCTGTATATAGAAACATTGACTCCCATTGTAGTATCCTCTTTAATTTTGGCAATCTTTTTGTCCCTCCTCTGTTCCACCGTCAACTTTCTGGCAGCATTAGCCTCTTCATGTTGCCGCTGTCGCTTTGCCATCTGGGCTCGTACATGAGCTTCCACCTTGGTGGGGTCCTGGACAGCTTCAGTTCCCAGCACTCTCATCAAGTTGGCCATGCGCACTGTGTATACAAAAAGCAGACATATTAAAAAAAAAAATGGACAAAATTAGTATCTCCTTAGGACAAAATGGAACCAAAAATCACATAGGGAACTTATAAATATAAACTACTGGTGTGAGAAAGGTCTTAGTTCTTCACTTTACTCACAACTGTTCTCTGCACATGCGTTACTTGGGTCTTTAGAGAGAACAAGAATATAGTCCCTGTTCACCTTCAAAACAGTGGTTGTGAGGCTGTGTTGTGCTGTACAGCTCGGCTACAATATCTGTACCTAACTAACATCCAATTTCAGCAAATCTCTCATTGGTCAACTTTTATGACATGTTTGTTAGGTAAGGCAGGAGGTCTAGCCCCCCCCCCCCCCCCCCCCCCCCTTTAAATATGGCTCTGGAACCCACATGGGTACACTGAATATTTATTCTACAAGGAATGCTGTAAGAGGCATAATCTTCAGATTAGCTAACACATCTGCTAAAACGACTGGGCAAGTTGACCAACTATGAGCTGACTGATGACCTATGTATGCTCCAGTAGAGGACAAAGAGCCCAAGAAGAATATAACTGTTTTAATCAGCATTAAAGCAAAATCAACATCAACATCAAGCGCCCTACCATTAATCACAGGCAGCTCCAGTCACGATCTCGGACCAATTACAAATTGTGTAGTGTCCTTGTCCCACTCCCAGCTGCTGATATCAAACGAGCACGGTATTAATCTCTTTGAATCCTGACTTATCTTAGCACCTTGCAGAAATTAACACCAACACTGACAGCCACACATCTTCAGTGTTACATTTGTACAAACCTTTTGGCTCCAGTGGTGGTGCTAGACCTAGGCGGATTTTTTCTTGAATTTCTTTTTCAGCTTCTCTTCTGTTCTGTCTCCGCAGTTTCTTTCTCTCCTTCTTTGTTAGGAAAACAGGGATTGCAGTATCTTCTTTTGGCTTCACTGACAAATACAATATTTAAAAAACATTAACATTTAAAAATTTTTGTTAAACTTTAAACAGGGCATTTAGCATATAAATGATCATAAAATGATGTGTAATAACAGTGTCATTTATGTAATTACATTCAGCATGCCATTACTGCAATTATAAACAAAATATCAGTGTAATCACAAGAAGTATATCATCATCCTACAAACTAACAGAATGTCCTTATTTAAATTAAATTTAGAACACTATTTCTGTAAGTAACATGGCAGAGTACAATGCTACTGGTGTAATTACATGCAGAATGTCATTTGTGTAATTTCATACAGAATATGATTTGTATATTTTGAAAGAATGAAGAAGCAAATATTAACACGAAGGAAGTGCTAATAATAAAAATACAGACTTCCAGCGAAACAATCTTACCAGGTGGGGCTATCTGTGTTGGGTGCTCCACTAAGTTTGTGATTCCTTCCAAAATATGATGGTCAATTTTCCCATCTTCTATATCATAACTGAAATAACATTAAAGCAACCAAAAATAATTTGAGCACATTAGTTTCTTATTTGCATTTTACGAGGTGGCAATTTTTCAGGAACCCAATAATACAATAAACATTCATTCATTTATTGTCCCGTGGAGTCATTATAAGTCCCAGTCCCATGAGGCCGGCGGTCTATTTCTCCTTTCTGTTCTAACCTGTGCAATCATTTCAACATCATGAGAGTATCCAACCCTGCAGCTTTGGTTTCTCTCAACAACATTCCCTTTAGGATTTCTCTTGGATATCCGTGTGTCTTCAATCTCTTTATTTCCCATTTCAGCACCTGTTTGGTGATTTTCGTTTTCTTCTCAGGATGTCCAACATACCGCCATCTTCTCTGTCTTTTAACTGTTGATACTAGTGTTTGCCCAGACATTTCTTAAATTTCTCCATCCCTCTTGAATTCATCCCGTTTTATTTTAACTTTTTTTCTCAGACATTTGTTTTCAAATGCATTTAACTTTTGTTCCATGTCTTTAGTGTTTCTCCAACTTAAGCTGACATATGTTAAAACTGAAATAATATTAGAAAAAAAGTAACTTAGTTCTATAACTATACAATTTTGAGTTTCATATTTTTTTCCGACTCATAAAAGTTGCTGATGCTTTTAAAAACCTATCTACAGACAGGCTGACAACAAGGAGGGACTTTAGGTGAGAACATTTTTAGAAGTAACAACGCAGTATGAATTGTGACTGGGAAATATTGGGTTGTATTTGTGCACGTCTTCTCTTCTCCTTCACTGAGCCTCCTAGTCATAGTCTGTGCTGTGGCACACTACTTCTACAGACCCGTCATCATCATCATCAACATCTGGTTTTGCCATGACTTGTCAAACAGGGCCTGCAGACTATTCTCCCATTCCATTCTTTCATTGACAGAATCCAGTGTAGCACATTTGGCCTCTCTTATCAGTATTTATTTTAGGGTTTCTCCTGGACGCAACTGCTTCCCCAATCCACTTGTTTCCTATTTCAGTGCCTGTCTGGTGATTCTCTGCTCGCTTCTTCTCAAGATGTGCCTAGATACCTTTAGCCTTGCCTTAATGGAGGTCCAAAGGCTAAAGCATTTGTCTAAAAGCTGAAAAATTTCTTGAAGGTCCTTTTTTCCCCATCTACTGACATCTATGACCAGTAGTTGACTTTTTCAAGAAACTGAAAGTCCAAATTATCCAAACATATTTTTCAAAGTAGAGCATATTGTGCAGGTCTCCATATCTGTCACAAGATGAACATTAAAAAGACTCTGTCTACAACACTGGCACATCAGGCTTTTTTATAAAGACAGATTTATTTGTCTAAGCCACTAGACCAGGGGTCTCCACCTGTGGAGAGTGATACCAGTTTAGCCCTGTCCAACGTCAGACCAAAAATAGCAGATATCTTCAAGAGAAAACAGTCTCAACCATCGTACCGATATTTAGACACTAAATTACCTGTTGTTGATTGTTTCTGTTTATTGTATTATTGTTTCTGTTTATTGTATTATTTGACACTCTCAGTTATGTGCATTTTTCTCTCCACGTTCTTGTTAACAGAACCTGGGATTTTTCTTTTTGTTCTCTTTTTTTTCTTTACATTTTGTTGTTATGTTTGGGGCTGTGGGGAAAAGGGGAGGGGGGGGGGGGGTGTCAAGGGAAAGTTCTTGCCATAAACTACCTGAGAATGGTTGGAGACCACTGTACTAGTGTATTAGACACTTAACAAGTAATCTGGCCAGCATTATGCCGACCACCTTTACATTCAAGAACATTTCTTGTGATCCATTTTAATGGCACAGACAGCCTTAGGTCAATTTGAACAAATCCACCTGGTGAGGTTTTAAACACAAGAAGAATAATGATCAGTCCCTGTGATTTAAAAATGAAGTGGTTATTGCTGGGCTGATTCTGTACACTTCCTGAAAGCTCAGACACTTCTCTTGTCCTCACAGTATCACTTACACTTCTCTTGTCCTCACAGTATGACTTCATTATCTATTTATAAAAATTCTCAGCCCTCCCCAGGTCCACCCAGGTTACCTGGAAATATCCTTGGAAGTTAACACAGACAGCTGGCATAGTGTCGACCACACCACCTACAGAATGTGGACTGTTCTCAAACAATTTGGATCCAGCACCACAGTAGCATGAAAAAGTAGATACTTTAGTCAAATTTTTAAAATGCCTTCTACACCAATAAAATAGATAGCTGTAAACAATCTCTTTCCAACGGTACCTCATTTAGGCTTGTATGTCATTTCTGAGCTGAGATATGTAGGTTTTTGTGGAGATGAGATGTAAAAAAACAGCTGTTGAAAACTTGCGTCTCAGAAACAAGAAGTTTTCTTTGCGCAACCAAACTGTGCACTTTTGTTTTGGCTTTGTTTTCATTGGACAAGATGGCAAACAATTTTTCTCAGACACAGCCACATAATAGCGACTGCCTGAAAAATGTCACTGTAAATCTAAATAGCCACAGATAAGAAAGAAATTTTATACACAAATGTAAAATTGGACGGAGAATTTAATTATAACTAGCATTACCATGTCTGGTAATATTTAAGGCCTAAAGCCAACCTTGAATACTTAGCGCTATTTTCAATCAAACTGATGTAACAGAAAAACAGAGGACGTCCGGCTGTCGTAGACATGCACTGTTAATCGGGTTCGTTCCCGCCATTTTCAGCTATTCATAGCTGGTGAAAATCACACCAATCGCAAAATTTCATGAGAGATTAGGACACATCCCGAAACCCCAGCCGACATTTCCCAAACAAGTTTCAAACGGTTTCCATGGTAACGGAAATTGCCAAAAAGACTGCAAATTGTCGAAACTGTAGTCGCTAGAAAAAGGCCCTTGATGTGTACTTACTACCTAACACATGTCTCCTAGTGACTGGCAGATTAACAAGTGAAATATGAACTGCACAAACATAAACAACTTACGCATCACGCCTTAAAATATAGGAGTCCCACCACTCTATGTCTGGAACCTCACCTTCCTTCTGTAATAATAAAAATGGGTCACAAATTAAGTAAACACTGTGTTGCTTTAAAAAAAAAAATTTTTTTTTTTTAAGATCTGGTGTACAGGGTAGAGAAAATTCTTTTTAATTTGTGAATAAAGTGTCACTGACAACAAATGACACAACTCGTGTCTGCACAAACTGAGACAGACAGAGGTATTTGCCTCTGGCCTTTAGCAGTTAAGCAGTGGCCTGGGTCCTGGTATGAGTCATCATACACATTTGTTTAGTAGGCCAAAAAGAAAGTCATCATTTAATTCTTTGCCTTACTTTATGTTCACTGACTTTCATTCATATATTTATTTTAACACATTTTAAATAAAAAGACTGACTAGCTGGCACCTTTCCATCTTTCCAGACGATAGTGTTATACTGAGCTAGTGTGACTAGCAAGACCCACCAGCCTTAAGAAAAGTATTCCCCAATTATAGCATGGGATTGCAAGACCACTGCTGTCAACATTTGTGTTTAGTCTGTTTCTTCTCAGATGCTCAGCTCTCATACTTTCTGCAATCATTTCTTCCTTCATAAATTATGTATATAAATGTGAAATGTTTGTTTTCTTTCAAAAGGATTTGGGAGAGGGGAGGGGTTGGAATTGCCAAGTTCTGGGCCTTTACCCCCAAAAAGTATCTGAGGCAAAGGGGTTTACTTTGGGGAATACAAACGGGAATATAGCCAGCCTTGGGATTCCTGTATTTATGGAAACCTAATACAAAATCAACACACAAAGTAGCTACAGGAGACTAATGACAGAAACAAATATAAAATACCTACAGGGAAAAACAGTTATGCTTTTATAATAAAGTAGTCTCCCCGTCGACTAATTGGGAGCTCCCTTGGAAGTCGGAGCACATCCGCCTGAGAGGCAAGGAACCAACAGTCTGCATGCAAATGAGTCAGACCTGTGAGACAGATGTACACACAACACTCAAGTTCTGGAGCAAGATTAGAGTCCAGAAGTGGATGAACAACCAGAACTTTCTGCCGGAATTTACAGCTGGTGAATGCGAAGAAGAAGAAGATAAAGTATAAAAAGGACTTGCACAAGCAATTTAAATAGCTTGATTACCCTGAAAGAGTATGATTTATACATCTAACTTACAATTTCTTTCTTTGGGGCTATCGTTGCAATCTTGGCAGCTGATGCAATACCAGTCTTCTTGGCGGCTTGGGAGATTTCTGCCTGAAGTCTTTCAAGCTGGGCCTGTCAACAGAAAAATCATTACCAGCATTACAATCATCCTCACCCTTCAGTTCACCACAGATATTGGGACTGAAATAGTTGCACTTAAATTATTTTTACTTCTGTTGTCTTGAGCATTTACATAGTTCTATTCTGATAAGTCTTTTCATCTTTTATATATTTTCTAAATTTTTATCAGTCAACCTCCTCAGCTGCCATATATTGACAATCCAGAAAATATGAAAGAGACATATACTGACAACCCTGAGTTAGAGAGAAATACATGTGTTTTGTGATATATATTATATACATTTAGAGAAATATATGTGTTCTGAAATGCATGTGAAAGATACCCACAAATATACTTCAGTTTTAAACAGTGCATGTTACCTTAGCTCTAAGTCTTGTAGCCTGTTGCTCAAATTTGCCCTTCTCATGGAACTTGAAGCCCCTTTTGGGTCTTTGGACTGTCTTCAATCTGTAAGCAAAAGGTTTCAGCCAGTTTCAGAAAGTTTTTTCATCACATATGTACTAAAATTATCCTTAAATGAATACACATCAAGACATCTAATACGCTATCATTAACACTGAAATGGTATTTTTAGGTTATTTGGCATTTTTTGCCAATTCTTCTGTACATCTCTGATATTATTATTATGTCAGACCTATCTGAAGCAATCCAATATAGTAAGATACCTAGAGTAAATGTTGAGAGGATCAATTTTATTTCACAAATAAATGGCCTGATCTGTCTCCCCAGAATAGCTAGCCAGCTGCAGAAATAACTGCATCAACCAGAATTATAAGGATGTGTTTAAAATAAATACATTCAGAAGAAGGTCATGTTTGAAGATTTCTATGGAGACAAAGGGTTGAAGAACACTGTTCTGTCTATCAGTGCAGCTGAGGTCCTCATGAACAGCCAATGATTAATGCCAGGGTCCATGAAGTAATGCACACAGTGTGAGAGGTCAAAACATTTATGAAGATTACTGTCACTAACTGCTTCCTGGCTCGCTTTAAAATCCCTCATATATACATGCAGTGACTTGACATACTCATCAGATATAAGAAGAAATAGCTGGATGAGAGGGAGTTGAGATACAATCTGGCAAGTGAAGAAGGTTAAGACAGACAGATTAGCAATCAAGTTAATTTATACTGGTTGGTTGAAATTCTGAAGCGCAGGGTAGCAGGCACACAAATTACAAAAATTGATATATGACTTCTAAGTCCTTATGATTTGTGAGAATAACATGGAGAATCAGCAAGAATTCCTCAGATATTGAATCATTTACACAGATCAAGTGATACTAGAGAAGGTATTCGCCTGTTGGATTTAATGTCAGTATATAAACTTTCGTCGGCCCTGTTGCCAAGTCGATGCGAACGCTTCGTAATGCCAGGTTTGATCCCACCTGCTTTCCATGTGCCTTGCGTTGGTTTTGACAGTGATACCAAGAAAGCCAACCGTCCAGAAAGCAATGGCAAACTACTGGACGTAAATTTGCTTAGAAAAACAACACAACAGCCAGGAGCTGTTGGGGTTGGTTCTGCAACGTCCTGTAAAGGATACGCAACTAACCATATAAACTTTCAGGGTGGCAGAAGGCATCAGATGTCATCCGTTATCTAAAGCCACTGCCAAATACTGTTGGCATCTACATGCAACATGGAACAGGGTTGAAATGTTTATGTACTATACATATATTTTCCCCCAAAATGTGTGCCTGCTACCTGGGGCTACAGAATTTCCACTAATCAATATAATTAACTTGAGTGCTAATCTGTCAGTCTGACTTCAGGTTCTTTGCTTGCCAGATCACATCTTTACTCTCTCTCATCCAGCTATTTTTACTGATATCTGATGAGTGTATCAAGTCACTGCATGATCACAGTGCTTGCTTAGGAATTCTGAATTAGTTCACAATTAACTGCACATAAACAGTGAATAAATACAGCCTATGTGGTAGAACAAAGTATGAGTTGAGAAACTAGGAATAGTCCAGTCATTCTACCTGGAACTCTTGGGTTTGTGAGATGAACTCTTGGGTTTGTGAGATGAACTCTTGGGTTTGTGAGATGAACTCTTGGGTTTGTGAGATGAACTCTTGGGTTTGTAAGATGAACTCTTGGGTTTGTGAGATGAACTCTTGGGTTTGTGAGATGAACTCTTGGGTTTGTGAGATGAACTCTTGAGTTTGTAAGATGAACTCTTGGGTTTGTGAGATGAACTCTTGGGTTTGTAAGATGAACTCTTGGGTTTGTGAGATGAACTCTTGGGTTTGTGAGATGAACTCTTGGGTTTGTGAGATGAACTCTTGGGTTTGTAAGATGAACTCTTGGGTTTGTAAGATGAACTCTTGGGTTTGTGAGATGAACTCTTGGGTTTGTGAGATGAACTCTTGGGTTTGTAAGATGAACTCTTGGGTTTGTGAGATGATGACAAACAGTAATAGGTTACAAAGAAATGAGCAGCATTATGAACAGTTTTTTTCAGCAAGCTCAACAACTACCAAGCAATGCACTTTATTCAATCGTTACACTTATGAAATTGCTCAAAAAATCTAAGCAGCTTTATATGCATAAGACAGCCTTTCTTTAACCAAATTCAACAACCAACCAGCACTTTATTCAGCCATTATACTTTTAAAATTCTTAGAAATTCGAACTGGCTTTATGATCTTTTTTTTTTTTTTTTTTTGCGTTTACCAGCTGTTAACTCCAGCTAAAAGTTTTGGTGTTTGTCCACTTATGGACTTAATCCTTCCACATCTTGAATTTTGCACGTTCCTCTTTTTTAAATATTTATTTTTCAAACAGATCGGGTTCATTTGTACGCAGACTGTTGGTTCCTTGCCTCTCAGGCAGATTAGTCTGAATTTGAAAGAAACCTATAATTAGTACACTCTTATGACATGCTTTTTAGGGAGGAGGTGGGTCTATTATCCCCCTTCCCGGCCATAACAGGGTCCTGGAACCCACACCAGGAGCTTTATATATTTAAGACAATCTATCTTTCACCAACAAAACCCTTTCATGCACTGTCAGACTTACGAAAGTCTTGGATCAAAGAATTTGCTTTCACTAATCTCTTCTGGAGGCCTCTCACTGAAACCTTTAAACTGCTCTCGTCTCTTGGCCCGGATGTTAGCCTGGAAATACAAAATACGTTGTGATAATTCATAAGAAATGAATTGTTTCTATCAACCACAAGCCACACAGGGAACATGTATGCCCAATTATTTGAAAGAAGATTAAGACCAACAGTAGAAAACAACTTTCAGAAGCCCTGATGGTTTTCAGACCTAATAGAAGCTGCACAGATGCAATATTTACATTAAGACAGTTGACAGAAAGAGCAATAGAGTATGATGAGACATGCAAAGTGACATTTATAGATCAGGAAAAAGCATTTGACAGAGTGGATAGGAATATGTTGTGGAATTGCTTAAGAAGATATGGAATCAGCAAACATCTAACTGAAGTGTGTAAGAGCTTATATACATCAAGTAAAGGCTGCATAAGAACAAAAGCAGGCACATCGCAACTTTTGAAGTATATTCAGGAGTAAGACAGGGATGTTTGCTATTTCTCCCGCTTTTGATAACATACATCAACAATAAATGCAAAGAAGCAGAGAGCAAAGAAAAGAATATCTCAGAATTGTTATTTGCAGATGACCAAGCATTAATAGCTGAAACAGAAGAGAGTTTACAGAACCAAAAAAACCAAGTCAATAATAAATATGAGAAATATAATATGAGGAAAAGCATTGATAAGACTGAGCCAATGGTAATAGGTAGACAAGAAGAAACCATTTCAATTAAAGTAAATAACAAAGAAAAAAAAGCGAATGTAAATATCTAGGGTAATTTTTCACCTCACATGGAAAAATGGATAAAGAAATCAACATACGAATCGGGTGCGAAAACAAATCAGGTTATGGGACAATTAACACCGCTTCTGACGCACAGAAAGATACCCCTGTCAACCGAAGCAAATCTCATAAGAACAGTTTTATGGCCGACTGTGCTACCAGTGCCAAACATGGGCACTTACAACTATTGAGTGGAAGACAGTAACTACAGAGATGAGATGTCTTAGAACTGTCGGTGTCACAAGAATAGAAAAAATTCGGAATAAAGAAATTAGAAGTAAACTAGGACTAGGACCAGTCATACAATTCATTAAAGAACAACAAATGACATGGTTTGGCCACTTGACTAGAATGCCCTGGCACCAACTGCCACAGAGAGTCATGCTGAAGAAATATAATGAACATGAAGGAAGGGGAAGACCACACAAGATATGAAGCGACACCATCAGGAGCAACATAACAGAAATGAACACTAACTTGTACAATGAAATGGAAAAAGTGCACAAACTATCCTTATGAACACTAACTTGTACAATGAAATGGAAAAAGTGCACAAACTATCCTTACATCTCAACCAAACACCACACTGAGGTAAATGGTGAAAGAGAAGAAGAAGAAGAAGTAATACTGTAAAAAAAAATTATCAGGTGTAGTTTTTGTGTGCCTATAACACTGATGTGTAAATGTCCACCGTTGAATAATGTCCATTGTGTTAATATCTACTCTGTACCACAACGTAAATTATCATGCACTGTTTTAAGCAAAAGACCCAGTATCTTATTTCAATGGGTGTTTCACACAGGTTTTCCATCCCTAGGCTGTGACTTGTTTTCAGTCTACCTTCAAAGCAGAATACATGTGCCTCACTTTAGCTGGCCACTTGAGAGTTTATGGGAATGCTCCAAAAGCTGTGCTGTCAGTTCTCACTCAACATCTGACCACCACCCACTGACCTGCTAGATACAGAGGTTCCTGTCTGTAGTTATGCTAACTGCATAGCTCTTTAGATTTTTGGTCTCTGTGTGGGTTCCGGGGCCCCAAGAAGGTTCAAATCTACTGCCCCCAACTAATTAAAGTGCAACAGCTATCATCTACCAGAGCTCATGACTATGAATTATAGACAGAACTCATGTCTAAAATATTGTCATAGACAATATCCAACTGGCAGTGGACACAGGATGACAAAGACACACTGGGTATAAAAAAGTTGATAAAAATGAGGTGGGAAAGCTGGTAGGGATCAAGTAGCCTTCTGGTATGCACTGATGAGAGCAATGTTCTGCACATTACCCTCTAGGGGTCGCGTTAGCCCAGTCAATAGGAGACTCACTTTCAAATCCAGCTGTGACTTGCTGCAGCCCATGGCCGGTATTCGAAACCGGACGGTTCCCGGGGTTCATTCAACCTCAAGGTAATGGGTACCAGAGTTAACACTCTGGGGTAAATGGAGGAACTGTAGCTGTAGCTACAGAGTTGAGTGCAGACGGCAACACTGGCGGACAGTTTCTCATCAGCTGTCCTAACTGGTTGCAGAGCACTTATGGTTTATAATCGTGTGCAATGACGCTGGTTCACATCTCGACTTTACCTTTTACAGGACCCTCTACAGGATGATGACAGTTCACAGATGTCTATCTGGCAAGCTTTTGTAACCATCTCCCTCCCTTTTCCTCACATCCTCAGACTATTCTGCTGCATAATCAGGAGTACAAATTCATGTGTTTACTTACCTTTAGGGTGGGGGTATACACAGACAACTGTATAGCTTCTCCTGTCTTAGCGTCAATGGTTTTTCCTTCTTCATTCAGAATGAGAGGAGAAGGGCTGTAAAAGAAGTCAAAGACTGGCTAAATGAAATTTAATTCATAATCATCAAATTCATGAACAAATGTGAACCAACTAATTACGGAAGATCTCTAGGGGAGACCTATATATAAATAAAACTACCTGGTTCAGTCACAACATACTAAAATGGTATATGTGATGTTTCATTTAAATGTATAGTGTTCTGTTTACATAGTTTGCTTCAGTACTCTGAGTAAATTAAAAAAATTCCTTTCACATACTATTTTAATTACAATATGATAGTATGTCACTGTATTTATTTACATGTGTGTGTGTCAGAGACAGAAAGAGGGACCAATGGCCTAAAAGACGCCTCATACACTGTAATATTTACTGCTATAAGAACTAAGAAACCAATTACCCACTGCGATAAGATACCCAAAGCATCATCTTGTGACTCATCTATGTTATTGAATACACCACTTAATTTAAAACATTAATAGGCTGTTTGATGTGTAATCTACCGGGACTGTCCTCTTCTAGATCAGTGATAGATAGAACGCGTCATAAGTGTTACACCAGCAAAGACTTGCTGTCTTACAATAAATGTCACTGCTGACATTGTGTAAACTTATTATATGATATAATTTCTAATTTTGTAGACTCTAGCTGTCACATTTTGACAGGAAAGTCAGCTTTGTTATAGTACTTCTCTTGCTGTCAATGACAACTCCAGTAATCTATGTCATATTGTCAGATCACTTTAAAAAAAAAAGAGAGAGAGAGAACAGGAGCGGTCAAAAATTTCTTCAACATCATGAAATTTGTGTGGGATAGAGATAACATATTTACACTGAAAATTATTACATCTTAAATATACTCAACCTTACTTTATGATGCACAAATCTGAACAATTGCCAAGTAATTAGAAAACTGAATTAAGTGTCTTGAGTTGTGGATATACAGAAAAATTGGCAATATTTAATTGAAACAAAAAACCAATCAAATTAGGAGTTTCTGACAAACTGGGAATGAAAAGAGCTGATGAAATAAAATAACAAGAGATAAGTGATATATTTTGGCCGTATTAAGATACAACAGTCATAACAAATTATGCTGGCAGGAAAATCTGAAGACAAGAGAGCCAGAAGTAGACAGTGATACATGTGGAAAAGAGTTGAACAAACAGAAGTCTCAAAGAGTGTATAACCAAGATGAGAAAGTACTGGAGAGCCATGGCAGTCAGCCTTCACTGTGGAGATGGCACATGATTAACTGATGGTCAAGTGTTCACAATTGCCCTACCCAGCCATTGGCTGCTGCATCGGCTGCACTGTTGTGGAACCTTGCAGTCCCGGAATCAGTGGAGGAGGCAGTCCAGCATTAGGTCCACCACTTAGTCTGGCCTGAATTTGAGCATGAAGTTCTGCAGCTCTCTTGGCTTTGTTCATGGCAGCATCTGTTGGACCTGATGGGGCTGCCATTCCAATTCTCTAAAATGAAGAACATAAGAAAACAAAATATACTTCCAATGAACTCATATATTACATCTACTTAAATCAGATTCAATGCTTGGTCAATTAAAGTCTATTTTGTTGGACAAGTGTAGTTTCAAGTAATTTTAAAACAGGTCTAATCTTCTTTTGGGTTCGCCCTTAATGGGGTGGTTGGCATGCTTTGTAGTTTATAGCTAACCTGCAATAACTGTACCTTTTGTGTCTATTATTCTTTCCTCCAAAATGCACCCGAGAAACCACAAGGTAAAACAGGTCTAATTAATTCAAAGATCATGGAAACATGTAATCAAGTTGATATGTCTGCAAGGAAGGTCAGCTAGAATGGAGCTCAGAAATGTTCTGTCACTCTCTCTCAAAGTATGTGAGGGTTGTACTGAAAAGAACAAGCCATAGTTAACATGAACAAGAATAGTTTGCTCAACATCAATGCAACCAGGCAGACAAATACAGTAGCCTGTCATGCACATACATGAGCTGAACGTTAAGTGTGCACATGCACTAGACAGTAGGCACAATCAAAATGGTGGAATGGTTAAAGGAAAGAGTTCCTATTACATTTTAAGTCTGGCTTCAACATTTATCTGAGGAAACTATTTGGATGATTCAGAAGACTTTTGGGAACAAATGCATCACAAATAGAAGTGTGATACAAATGCTTCAAAGAAGTAAAGGAAGAAAAATTCCAAGCAGAAGTTAATTTGAGACTCAGGTGAATTTAAAAAAAACAAAACAAAGGGAATGCAGGGTGAACTGCAGGAAATGGATAGTTTGACTTAAAGTGAGCCAGTGCTCCATTAGGGGATAACAGGCAACAGAAGAAGAAAAACATGAGATTTAAAACAGGTCAACTCACAGGAGGAGGCATAGAAGCCACTGGCATAACAGACTGCAGTTGTGCTTTTCTTTCCTGAATCATTTTCTGGGCATTGGCCATCATCTCTTTAATCTGAAACAATGCATAAAAGAAAGTAACGTTTTATTTATATATTTTTTAAACTAATGTGATCATGAGTGTCGTTTACTCACCAAGGGCCTTGTTATCTAGTGTTGGCAATCATGATTCTTCCTATCTTGTTGTCTCCAAGAAAGTCTACTATTTCATGTGATGACATCCTTCCAAGCCCTAACAAAAGGTTCTGCCTCTTCTTCTTCTGCTTACTAACTTTTTTTACAGCATAAGGTTCTGCTTCTGGCGGCCTTGACCACAGATACATCAGACTGTTGTAGAGTTTCTCTGATGTTATCATTTCTTGGTCTAGCTCATGTTCTAGGCCATTCTCCTGTTTTAGTGTATGCCTTGTATGGTATGGCATCTTAGTGCATTCTCTTCTAAGTGGACAAACTATTTGATTTGTTGTCTTTTGATGCCATTTAGAACTGATTCTATGGTGACTTGTTCTCTTGTGAACTCATTCCTGTTTTTAACTCTGCTGGTCACTCCCGCAGCCCTTCTCAAACACTTTAGTTCCATAGTAACTAATTTTCTTTTCCGGTTTGTTGTGACTGGCCATGCCTGGCACTCGTAGCATAGAGTGAGAATGAATATGCCTTATATGACATGTTTCTTTGTGCTGACTAGGACTGTCATGTGCTGTAAAAAAGGGAGGGGGTAGGTGGAAAGGGGAAAAAGGGGGGGGGGGGGGGGGTAGCTGTCCCAGTAGTCAGCTTAAATTATGAGTCTAATTCCATAAATTTTGTCACAAGTAACTAAACCACTTGTTACAAACATGTAACAAGAGCTATGTAGCAAAGTTTCAGAGTTCAGTGGCTTCCTGGTCAGCTTTGTCAAACAACAACCAGGAGTCCTTCAGACTGAGATGTTGTAAGGAAGGGATCACGGACTCCATAAATGTGAAGTCTAAATATTTAAATTCTTTATGCCAGTATGCGCTATGGGATTTTTGTTACATGATTGACCTGTTGAAGAAATCAGTTAAATCACAAGATATCAACAAGAGGAACAAGCAGATTTATTGTAGTGGATTATTAGAATTATTCATATAAGATTACTGGTGAAATGTCTGTTTACTTCTTGTGGCTAACAGACATATTCAGCAAGAGGCTACAACAGTTTACATAAGTGGCTGTACACATATTCACCTAACTCTACTTTCAGTTAGGAAAGGTAAAGCCTTCCCAAAACTACGGTTGGCCATCTTATACCTGGCCATCCAGTATAAATTTTGTATCAGGAAATGTCCTGGGAAGAAATAAGTAACCAGCATGGTGTTGACTACATCACCCACTGACTACTTAAAAAAAAAAAAAAAAAATAATCCTAGACCATAGGTACAAAAAAGGCCAACAGGGTCTTCTTCTGAGCGTTCACTGGCTGTACACTAAGGTGGAAAGTTCTGGTTGTTTGTCCATTTCTGGACTTCAGTCTTTTTCCATAACTTTAGTTTTGCGTGCACATCTGTTTAAAAATCTGGCCCATTTGTATGCTGACTGATGGTTCCTCCCCTATTAGGCAGAGGCAATCCTATTTTGTAGGAAACATCCCTAATTAGTTGTCTTTAATGATATGCTTGTTAGGTACGTAGCGGTGGGTCTCTTCAAAAGGACACTGAATAGCACCCTGTGAAAAGGGCCATTTACCTTGACTATTGTTGTCATTAAAGGCTTTATCGGATGAGAGACTAACCTTGTCGGGGGACAACTGGGACCCTGGTGGGATCAGGTTAGGAAGTGTGTTCTTGGGCTTGGGTGGAGCACTGTGCATGGAAGTCATTTCAGATATTGCAATCTCTTCCTCTGCTGCTCTTTTCTTCCTGGCAGTGTCATCTTCGTATTCCTGTAGTTGATCAGAAAAACAAAAGGACATGTAACTAGGTGTACTGAAACATGCAAACAGAAGGAACACCTCCATCGTAAAAGGTTGAGTTGTTGATTCAAGAACCGGCATCACAATACTCAGGGCATTCCCAGAAGCGTTATGTCCCCATTTTCAGCAGTCAGCGCAGAGCTCCAGCGCAAATGGTGCCAGTAGCATTCTAATTATAATTCCATCTTGGCATTTCTCAAAGCGTCAATTATCAGCCAGATTCCCTCATCACTCCCGGTAAAAGGTGAAGTGAAACAACAGATAAAATGGGTAGCTCAGTCAAAAGAATTTATTTATTATTGGTGCTTCGTTATATTTTGATGTAATTTCTCTTGTATTTAAATATATGACCCAATGCAGCAAAAATGTTTTGCGACATGCATATAAATGGAAAAAACGTGTGGTTAGCCCAAGACCTCCACTGTAAAAAGTAAAGTGAAACAGACTAAATGATATGAGCCCTCAATATTTACATTTAACTGTAAATGTTACCACAAACTTTTGAGAGCAGTCTTACAACAAATCTTTGGTTGGATCCATCATATATACAAGCGGCGGATAATGGAGAGTGAGAAGCAACAATCATCTTCTTCTTGTTTCGCGTTCACCAGCTGTAAACTACGGTGGAAAGTTCTGGTTGCTCGTCCACTTCTGGACCGCAGTCCTGTTCCAGAACCTGAGTGTTGCGTGTGCATCCGTTTGACAGATTTGACACATTTGTGTGCAGACTGTTGGTTCCTTGTCTCTCAGGCAGATGCACTCTGACTTCGAAGAAAGATCCCCATTAGTCGACTCTTACGACGTGCTTCTGGGTAGGCAGTGGGTCTATTCTTGTTTTCCCTATTAAAAGGCCCCGGAACCCACACGGAGAGAGAAGCAACAATACAATTAATATTTTTTTTTCAAACCACCATTAGTTACTGGCATCATCAAGACTAACACTACATTTAGAGAGAATGGCAGAAAGCAGGGACAGACTAAAACAGTGTACACATCCTGCATATAGGCAGAATGGTAGAAAACAGATAGACAAAAACTGTACATGTGAGAGCTGAATAGAAGTAGACCATGAGGCAGACCAAAAAGATAATAGAGAGAGAAAATGTAATCAGACCAACAAACATCTGGAATCATCAAGTGGAAAGAAGAAGTCAATCACAGAAGTGAATGGAGGCTGTTAATATCTGCAGCAATAAACTTCAAGGATTCAGGATTTAGTCTGTTTCGCTTTACCTTTTACAGTGGAGGTCTTGGGCTAACCACACGTTTTTTCCATTTATATGCATGTCGCAAAACATTTTGATGATCACATAACTGGAGTGATAAGATTCCATTAGACAGAATGTGCCCTACTCTGTTATGTTTAAATGACCAACTCCTGGTTATTCTCTTATGGTTTAGTAGCCGAGACTTAAATAAATGTAATAAAAACAGCACCTATGTGAAATTTCTGATCAACTGACAAATGGTTATAAATATACATATTGTGAAACTCTTTATTAAATGGTCATCATTAGCTTTCCCATTTGCCATTAAGCATCAAAAAGATTTGCTGACTCAGTGCTCAATGTGTGGTTATAATTCTTTGTGAATGAACAATGCCTTCAACGTCTTCAGCCAACTTTTCTAGACACTCATGTACTTGCTGCAGATCTTAGATGTAGTACCTGTGTTGGTAACTGTTGAGGTATTCTACTTAGATGCCACACCCACATGATCTTCTACTGTTCCAAGTATTTTAAATGAGGTGATGTCCCCACACACTGACAGATACCCCATCCTCGTAATCTTCTGTTGTTCCAGGTATGTTATTTATATGAGGTGATGTCCCCACACACTGACAGATCCCCATCCACATGATCTTCTGCTGTTCCAAGTATCATATATGAAGTGTTGTTCCCACACACTGACAGATCCCCATCCATGTGATCTTTTCCTGTTCCAAGTATCTTATATGAGGTGTTGTCCCCACACACTGACAGATACACCCTCTACATGATCTTCTGTTGTTCCAAGTATCATATATGAAGTGTTGTCCTCACACACTGACAGATACCCATCCATGTGATCTTTTCCTGTTCCAAGTATCTTATATGAGGTGTTGTCCCCACACACTGACAGATACGCCCTCTACATGATCTTCTGTTGTTCCAAGTATCTTATATGAAGTGTTGTCCCCACACACTGACAGATACCCATCCATGTGATCTTTTCCTGTTCCAAGTATCTTATATGAGGTGTTGTCCCCACACACTGACAGATACACCCTCTACATGATCTTCTGTTGTTCCAGGTATCTTATATGAGGTGTTGTCCCCACACACTGACAGATACGCCATCTACATGATCTTCTGTTGTTCCATGTATTATCTTCTTCTTTCTTCTTTCGTTCGCATGAAATAAATTGTCTATATCTGCAAAGCCGTCTCTTGTATGAATTTCACTGTCTTTTGTAATTCACTAAGCGGCCCGTAAAGTTTGACTTCCACAAGTGTCTCTTTTGGCCAAAGGTTTTGTCTGAAAGCGTTGAATATGGGACAGTCTTGAAGGATGTGATCTGTTGTTTCAGGTGCCAGTCCACAAGTACACATGGCCGATTGGCCAATCTTAAATTTGTTGTACCCAAGTATTATATATTAGGTGTTGTCCTCACACACTGACAGATACGCCATCCTCGTAATCTTCTGTTGTTCAAAGTATCTTATATAAGGTGTTGTCCCCAAGCAATGACTGTGTCAGGCATTTCATATTACATTTTTTTTTTTCATTTTGGAAGCCACAGCAGTGCAAGAGTTACTTGCTGTCAGCTGAAGGTCCTGGTTTTCTTTAAACTTACAAACTGAAAGCAATACTAAAATTAGATTGGAAAAAACTTTTTAACTTACAAACCGCTGTCAAAAAAAAAAAAAATAGGTTTGTATTTTTTTTATGCACATATAAAAATAAACTTGTCTGCAAATCAGAAAAATTACTTCACAAAATCCTACAATGTAAACCATTTCACAGTACCTGATTTACTACCAGTAAATTCATGTCCTCACATGATAGGCTATGCAGCTTATTACTTTTACAACAATTGAAAACATTTACTGGCTTGCATTACCGTTTCAATATAATAAGATGTTCAGAGTTACAGCTAAAATTCATTTTCAAATTAATGTGTTTACTGAGGTCAGTCACTGTCACAGGTTTTTGGGTTTTGAACAACTGATAAACATCAAGTTCTGAGTCCGAAGAAGCTCAGCACAGTGCACAGGCTCTGTAGCACTGGCGAGGAACCTAAAATACCTTGGGTAGATTTTTAACTCTAAATTTTGCCCAGGCAACGCTTTTCAATTTCCAACTGCCAAGGGATTTTTTAACGTGAGTAACAATCCACATGGACGCCAGATCTCATTACCCAGAGACCAGGGGGAATTACTAGAAGTCTAAGCTCATGTGAAAAAATCCTATCCCTTACAGGGGATTGAACCGGGAAACTCTAGCACTCGAGGCGGACACCATCACAATGAAGGTTTGACTGCAATGGGGTGCCAACACACTGTTTCTTTTCCTGCACGTACACTATCTGGGACTGCTGTTTGTTTCTTGAATGTATCATCCTGTTTACCTCTTGCTTTCAACTTGTCCCTCCAGTATGGCCTTTATAAAATTTTATGACCAAAATATTTGACTTTAAAAATAAATATCTTCCAACAAGATGAATCGTCCATCAGATGATAAGGTCTGCAATGTATTGGACTGTATTTGTTTACATAAAACATAACCTATTCTTCTGTAAGTTCATATATTCAGAGGCTCAATTTAAATTATAACTGAATGTCAAAGAACAACAAATGAAATGGTTTGGACATCTAACAAGAATGCCTTGGTACTATCTACCACAGTGAGCCACGGTGAAACGGGTACAAGGGCAAGGCGTCGCAAAAGACTAAGTGATGGCATAAAGAACAGCCTTACAGAAATAAACATCCATATAAATCCGCATTTTTTAATAGGACTGAGGCCCTGTTAGGATATTTGTTTGGCCGCCATAATGCCGGGGTAGAAGTTCGGAGGAGAGCCAAATGTTTTAATTACAGAATATACATCTGACTTTCTTGGTCTCTATCAAAGATTACAACATACTATACCGAATGGAAGCAGTAATTAACTGATATTAAAGAAGTAATGTGAACTTACAGAACGCTGGCAACAGAATAATCAACTCAGGATTACTGTTATTATTGCAGGTAATGAACTTATTAGAAAATCAGAAAAAATTACATCATAAAAGCCTACAATTTAACCATGTCATCCTAAAAAGCTACAAAAACGACTCTTCTGTTTGGTTCCAATTCCTTAAAAAAAAGTTGACTTTACCAATTTGGCTACTGAGGCCTGTTGATGAGACACCTAGCTAAACTGCTATCAAGTGCGCTTGCACACATATTTAGGAGGACTGGCACTGACTATAATTTATTTATTTAAATAGCATTTAGAGGGGTTTTCCTTTAAAAAATAACTCTATTTATAGAAATTATGATATAATTTTCCCACTGACCACAGTGATAACCGCCAATGAGGTTAAAAAAATAATTAGAAGGGACTGAAATTTTTTTTATTTTTTTAGGCTTATAGAAGTAATTCAGTTAATTCTCTGTTGCAATCAGGTTCAATGATGTCTCCTCACATTCTGTATCGAATTTAATAGTAGTCTGGTAGATAGATGGAACTGTTATAATTTGCTTTGTGACTTGTAAGCATTCTAGTGTTACCGCCTTACCTTACGCCTTGTCTTGCCAACTCTGCCACTTGTTCTGTAACTATAAATATTCTAGTGTTATTGCCTTGCCTTACACCTTTTCTTGCCAACTCTATCACTTGTTCTGTAACTTTAAATATTCTAGTGTTATTGCCTTACATTACACCTTTTCTTGCCAACTCTATCACTTATTCTGTAACTTTATATATTCTAGTGTTATTGCCTTACCTTACACCTTTTCTTGCCAACTCTACCACTTGTTCTGTAACTTTAAATATTCTAGTGTTATTGCCTTACCTTACACCTTTTCTTGCCAATTTTACCACTTGTTCTGTACCTTTAAATATTCTAGTGTTATTGCCTTACCTTACGCCTTTTCTTGCCAACTCTACCACTTGTTCTGTAACTTGCACAGTATATGAACAATCTGCAAATCACCGCAGGCAGGATAGTTTTTCTCACTGACTCACTGTCAGCTATACAGGCCCTTGAGTCCAAACCTACCGACAGCACACTACAAAGTCTAACACATGAACTTGCTATGTTGTCAAATAAGGCAGAAATTCACTTGCAGTGGATTCCGTCACACTGTGGCATCAAAGGCAATGAAAGTGCAGATGCTTTAGCCAAGGAAGGCAGTAACAAACCACAGACCTACCAGCCACTATCTTTTCCAGAAGTCAAAACTCTCATTAAGAGAAAATCAGAAACAGATTGGAAAACCAACACTCGTTATAACTACGAAAAAGATTTTCTGAAACACTTGAACAGAACAGACCAAGTCACAGTTTTTCGCTTACACACTGGACACTGCAGACTCAATAAACACTCACATAAATTAGGTATGAGCCAAACAGCTCTCTGCCGGTGCCTTCGTGCTGAACAGACTCCAGAACATGTCCTGCAAGACTGTCCTCTCCTGGCGGAGCTGCGGAGCGACATATGGCAACACCCAGTTGAACTGACAACTAAGCTTTGGGGAAACCTAAGAGACCTTGAAAAGACATCCCAGTTTATGACCCACAGTGGATTATGCGCATGACCAGAGATCGCTGAAGAAGAAGAAGAAGTTCTGTAACTTTAAATATTCTAGTGTTATTGCCTTACCTTACGCCTCTTCTTGCTAATTCGACCACTTGTTCTGTAACTTTCGTACAGATGGTAGACTCGCTCCGCCAGAACTGAAGCTTGATTCATTTCCAAAATCTGGGACAGCTGGTCTAGAAGATATATGATATTATGCAAATAAACAATTCTTGTTACTGTTACTACTTTAACTAAAATCATTATGTTTCACCAAGGAGATCAAAACAGGAATTGTTGTAATTCTCCATTACTTTATTTTCAGAAGCGGGAATTGTTTTTCTTACCAGTACAGCAGAGGGGTCAACTGAGCCTCATAAAATAGGCAGCATACCTTTTCAGGAGGGGAGGGGAAGAGACAACAAGGTGAACTGGTCACCTAATCTCATATGTCATGGCCTTGGATATGTGAAAGTTTAACCCTTCACAGCCCATTAACTGTATCTATTATAGAACTATTTGTATGTTTAAAAAAAAAAAATATATATATATATATATATATATACATATATATATATGACCCCAGAATGAGAGGCCACGGAATCCTGCTGGCAGATTCTCTAAGAGCTGAAAACCAAAATCAGAGAAACAGTTCCATACTGATGACACTAGTTGCAGTTTGATATGTTTGTTTTGCCTTTTTCCTGAGCATCTACCAGACCCTCCAGTGGTCTTTAGTCTGGCTTGACATGTGCTGTAATGAAATTTGTGGAGAATTACAAACAGAATGACACCCCCCCCTCCCCCCCAATTTTATTTGGCACATGTGATGACCCGGCAATGTAAATATAATATATTTTATTTTAAAATTATCAGATGGTACATTTTTATTAGTTGACAGAAAAACCTGTATGCCTAAAAACTATTATTGACCTAGAAGGAAAAAGAATCTCAACTGATTGGTTGAACCCTAAGGTATTCTTGTCTGCAATTTGAACAACTTCACTCATTAAATTACAAAGATGCTGAATGTCAAAACTATGTTCTGTTCAGTGGCTATGCGTTTCTTTCTTTCTTTATTTTTAAAAAGTATATTTTCTAGAGACTTCTATGGGAAGGATAGTCTCTCATACTCTCTCTCACACACAGACAGACGCATGCACACACACTGAAGTCAGTCACCAGACAATAATGTTGCGACCTGGCATTTTTAAAGGCTATTGACAGCACACTCTTACCTGTTGAGATTACTTTTGCCTTAGTATGGATGACTAGGTGTATGCAGTCCAGTTGCCAGATAAGTCATGACTGTTATTTCTCACAAAGACAACTACTGATAACTTACCAATTGTCTTCTTCATGTCAAAGCCTGTGCTAATGCAGTTGACTGCAGCGTTGACAACTGTTGGCTCACTAAAACCAATGACATTTTTGACTGTGTCACTCAGCTGGGGCCTCAGATCATCCAGCTCTCGACTAGTGAGTGCCATCTCCAGAAGATTTTGGGAGTTATGAAAGTCTTGAGGTAAAAGGTAGCACCAAATCTATGGAAGAATAAGAGGACCATAATTACTGTATTAGACAATCAGATAGAGTTCAATGTTATATATGTTGCCATCCGACTTTTGATCAATATGGATGATAGGTAGGATGACTGTTTTAGTCGGGGCAAGATTTTAATTAGATCTGTGTTAAAGGAACGAATGGGTGGTCAGTTTGCCAAAAGCTTGTTGCTATTGCAACACTTCATTACTACAACATTACCTAATTAAATCCACAGGGATCCTTGCAGTTTTCTGCTCTCAGATACACACATTTATAGATAGAGTACGATTTTAAGTTTTACTAGTTTACATTTCCATATATAGGAGTTTCAGTTAGTTCGTCTTTGTATTATCTATTTTATTAATAAAAAACTTAATTGTATTTTCTAATATTCTTCTTTAACATATTACTTTACATCTCTGCAATAATTACAGTATTGCACTTTGACAACTGCTATATTATGACTTGAGTATTTGAAATTATTTTGGCACTTAACTTTAAACATTGCGCAGAAGTGGAAACTGATGATGATGGCCTAAATTATTATTTCACGGCGCTTAACGGCAGAAGTAAAACTGATGATGATGATCTAAACATTGCTACCCATCGACACAGCGCTTTAATGGATCGAAAATTATTCCTCTCCCACAGCGCTTCAGTGGATTGAAAACTATTTCTTCCAACGCCGATTAACTTTAAACATTGCACAGAAGTGAAAACTGATGATTATGGCCTCAATTATTATTTCACGGCGCTTAACAGCAGAAGTAAAAACTGACGATGCTGGCCGAAATCATTATTGGTACATATTCCGCTTCTAATATTAGAGCTGTTCCATATTTTGTATAACCTCTTTATAACCCCTTGAGTCTCTAAAAGGGATGTTTTGGACAGTAAATAATTTGGGACAGGTATTCTCGGAAGAGCGCCCAATTTTCGGCTCTCCTTGCAGCTTCGGACGGTAGCTGGACGGCTTAGTGGGAGTTCTCTCCCTTGGCCGCATTGCAAACAACGAGCGGAAAAGTCACGAATCAAATGACATACTTACCTATCATCATACGGGTGTGTGTAGGGTTGCGTACGGTTGCGTAGTCGTCATACGGTTGCGTCTAGGGTTAGGGATAGGGTTAGGGTTAGGGTTAGATGTGAAAATGTTGACGTAGAACTTCAAAATACTGGGCGACACTCTGATGCTTGTGGGAGTGGCGCCACTGGAATTGTGCCAATATGACAGCAATAGCGTGCGGCTGGTGCCCAATCGGTGATGAATTGTCCGTGTCAGTAGCATTCACCGTCCGTCGACTGTTTGGGTGTCTATTTGACTGTGCGCGATTATAGGGAACTACGGCGTCAAAATTGTCACACCTAATGCTAAACCTAACCCTACCCGTAACCCTACCCCTAACCCTAAGCCTACCCGTAACCCTACCCCTAAGCGTAACCCTAACGCTACCCCTAATCCTAACCCTACCCATAACCACGCAAATGTATCGGTCTTTAAAGCATAGAGATCGGCAAAACACACACACACAAAAAACCCCAGATTTCCCCGCAGCGTCACAAGAAAAACCCAGATCTGGGGGACACAACAGAGCATTGGCAGCCCTGATGTCGACCTCACTGTCTTGTTTGATTCGTGACTTTTCCGCTCGTTGTTTGCAATGCGGCCAAGGGAGAGAACTCCCACTAAACTGAACTAAGTCGTACAGCCTGCGTCCGGTTTTGAAAGAAGAGCTCCCAATTTTCTTATTTAAATATTTGAAATTGAAAGAAATTATGTTAATTTTTTTAGAACTGTCTGAAAAAAATACTTCGATTAAATTATGAAATTTTTTTTTCTATTCGCAACACAGAGACAACATCTTATCACGATTATGCCTCCTACCCCATCAGTTTCAAGACCAAGTTAGTTAGTTCCTCCTACTTTACTTTAGTCATCTAATCTAGATTCTCTACTGACACTACTGTTTTAGTCAGTAAATAAGCATTTATAATTTTGAGCATGAACCTTACCTGTCACTTGGGTAGTGTTATACAAGAACCATGAAGCACAAATCGTTATATTCAATTAGATTTAAATCAGCTGGCTATGTTTTGTAAAATGTGAACAATAATGTACTTCGTTATCACATCGTAAACCTTTTACAACATGAGAGCCGCCATTTTTGTAGCCAGGTACTTGTCCCTCAATGAGCCTAATAGGCGAATGATGTCTTGTCTTGTCCACAATTGCCTCACAGCGTAGTGGGGAGTCGCAGTTTTCTATCCTGGGCCAGGAGTGTTGCACATGTTGTTGTTAGTCCGTGTTGCCTCAAGATCTCTGATATATTGTCTATTCATGGTACTCTCGGTCTGCCTCTTGCTCTAGGGCATTAGTGCTGTTCGTTGTATGCTCGTAGAGGCAGTTGGTCGGTTTGCATTCGCATCAAGTAGCCAAACCACTCTATTTGTTGCTTCTTTATGTATTGCAGGCATGGTGTGGTTCCTACAATTGCTCTAATGTTCTCGTTTCGAACTCTGTCTCTCCTTGTGACATTGGCCGCCTTGCGTAAGCATCTCATTTCGCACGTCGTGATCTTTTTCTCCTGTGCTCTTGTTAGGGACCAGGTTTGGCATTGGTAGCAGAGGGTTGGTATAAACATGCAATTTATCAGTTGTCGTTTTAGTGCCATAGTGATACTTGGGTGTAGCAGTGGGGAGAGTTGGTAAGTTACTGCGTTCGCCTTTTGACATCTTGCCTCAAGTTCCCTATCAATTCTTCCATCATCTGTGAAGATGCTCCCCAAATATTTAAATTGCTGCACTTGTTTGAGTTGTTCGTTGCGAATGATGTGATTCCTAAATATTTGTTTCTGTGCAATAAAGGGAAATATAGGTGGTGGAAAATGTCAGCTCCAATATTTTTATTTTTGTATTTATGTGTTTAGATTCAATATATTGCTACTGTTGTCAAACCCATTATTATTATCTTCGTGCCATTATAAGTCACGTAGGGTTCGCAGTCTATTCCTTCATTTCCGTTCCGTCATGTGCTTCTGCTTCTTCTGCTTTTCTTCTTCTTCCTCTTCTTCTTCGATCCTTCTGTCAGAAAACTTATACCAGGATGCCGGTAGCCTATATTAAAGTTATCATGCAGTCTATATCTTCTCGTCTACTATACAGCTTTGTCGTCATTTAGTTGGAACAGGCCAGATTGCATCTTTGTTGTCAACATACAGTCGACAGTGTTGGAGCACATGCTCAGCATTTTCGGTGGCCACGCTGCAGTGACAGGTCTCCGTGTTTCCTACACCGAAAAATGTGAACATTTGTTGACGAAGTCTGTTGTGCCCTGTCTTTAGTCTTAATATAACACACTGCCCCTCGAGAGAGGCGATGAAGCGAGTCTTGGTGAGATAATCTTGTGTATGTATACAGCTACCTTTTTCGGCTACTAGATTGTATTATTGTTTTCGTCTCTTGGTGGGTCAAGTCAATTTTTTTTTTGGGTTTGACCACCTCTTTGCCGCTTTTGGCCAATCTGTCCGCAATTTCATGTCCCTCAAAGCCAGGTGACATGGAATACAATGCAGTAAAGATTGTTCTACTGAGAGGCCTAAGTGAATCAGCCGTTGCGTCAAGTCTACAGAGTGTCTTTCGATATCATACATGGAATTCAGTCCAGTAACCTTGGCTTCTCTCAGCAGCTTTTGTTTTAGGGTTTCGTTTTGACGTCCTCGCTTTCCTAAATCCTTTACTATGTGAGTGCCTGCTTGGTGAGTATCCTCTCGATTTTTCTCAGATATGGCCTAATATCGTTGTTGTCGATAGGTGTCTTCCTATTTGTGTATCTGAAGGTGAGAGGGTCGACTTTTTGCACTGGGTTTCATCCCATATGGCTGTCTCATTTCGCAGACCGGCCAGCGATGCGTGAAACTCAGTAGCTCCTTCCGACGATTCCCATGGCTCTCCGTCCTTCGACGATTCCCATGGCTCTCCGTAACATTTGCACTTGTGAACCATATGAAAATGACTTCCGATCAAAATGGACGCTAGGCAGCGGTACTGTTCGGAGCCGAGACAAATTTTTTGCTTCTGCCGGGCGATGGCCGATGCATTTTTACTCCATTTGTAGACTGGATATAGTTTCGTCGCCCAGCTTCTGAGTTGAATGTATAGCCTGACACTGTGAGCTGCGGATTTCATTTGGAATGTTTTTTTTATCTATCCTCCGACAAACGGTCGGCAAAGATGGCGGCGGCAAAATATCCAGCCGAGCCGCTGTCACGGGTCATTGCGCTCATACGGTCACGGGTCATAGCGCACTTGCGGCAAAACTAGGATTAGTGTACGTTGACAATTTCGAGAAACGGAACAAACCGCCGAGTTAAACTCGCCGCCGAGATTCTCCCCCGCGCCGCGGGGCTAAACTAGATAACTAGGACCCACGAGCAGCAGCTTCCGCATCTCCTGCAGCTTTGCTCGTGAGTCCTAGCCATCTATTGTCCTGCCTTTGTAGGCAAGAAAAATTAAACAAATATAACAACATTACTGCACATTATGTTTAAATATGCATGGGTAACTTCCCTCTGAGCACGACCTTATTGATCATTTTTGTTTATACAATATTGTATGTGTGGGTGTTGTGTATGTTGCTAATATTTTCGTAAAGGCATTCCATTGCAAAGATAGTTAGATATTGGAAAATAATTTGCTGACTGACTTTCTACCCCACTAGGATATCACACAAGCGATAAACACCCGATGACACAAAGTGCCACCATGTGGATGGGGATCACCGTGGAGAGGTCCCAGAAATAGCGTTTAGACAATTGGCCATATTTATGGCCCGGCTATATTTAAATTTGAGAAATTATATAATACTGGTCGGCCCTGTGGCTAAGTCGATGCGAACGCTTCGTAATGCCAGGATGCCGGGTTCGATCCCAGCTGCGGGCCATGCACC